TTCCTTGACCTTTCTGTTGGTCGCATGTCAGTATGTCATCCCGTGTTCGTGTCTGACCTTGAGTCTTTTCCTTTCCTGTTTGGTAAAGACCTGATCAATCTCTTTGAACCCATAAATGGGCTGCATGGTGGCGCAGTTGTTAGCAATGTTTCCTCGCAGCACGAAGGTCACAGGTTTGAAACTCGGCTGTGGCCTTTCTGCGTGGAGCTGCGTGTTCTCCCCATGCATGCGTGGGTTTCCTCCGGGTACTCTGGTTTGCCCCACAGCTCACAACATGCCCTATAGGTTATAAATTGTAAGTTGCTTTGGATAAAAGTGTTTGCGAAATAAATAAACATAAACATATATGACCTCATTGGGTTGAAGCTCTGGATTCAGTTGACTCAACCGCTGCCTGTGAAACACCGTCAGGACCTTATTTTTTCTTGTGTTGTTGTGAACAACAACAGCGACTCTCATGTGGCTAGTCGTTATGGTGTTTCGCTGGTCAGCCACAGGCCTAGTGTATGCGTTGTCTCAGTGCTGCCTGAAACACCTTGCCCTGTAGGGTGCTTTACCTATCAAAGGGGGAGTCGAGGGCCATCCTGACACTGTACCGTTACAGGCTGACCCTGTTCTTTCTGGCTGCACTTGCATGCCAACTGAAAGCCATTTGGAGTCCACCCCAGAGCAGAGCTCTCTGGAATCCATCCCAGCGCAGAGCCCTCGAGTGTCCATCCCAACCGAGAGCCCTACACAGTCTGCTCCTGTGTCAGTCTCTGGTCTTCATTGATCTGGATTTCAGGTTTCTGGACTGACAAAGTTTCTGATGTTGGTTGCATGTATCTTTGCGATAAGTGATGCGGCTAAGCCTTCTCTACAATGGCTCTATGACCCTGGACCCCCTTCGGGGATCACCCTTAAGGGGTGCCCAGGACTGTTGATGACTAACTAATCTCTGGTCACCCAGAAGGTGTTTTATCAAATTCAACCTTGAGCAGGCCTGCGCTCTGAAACTTATGAGTTCCTTCGGACCTCTTTCTGACACTGGTACCAAATGGACTCATACAATAATGTGTAACTCTGAAGCCGGTATCACTCATATGTTACTCCAGCTACAGAAATTCACTGTTACCAATTCGGAACCTCCTGGTGCCAACTGTGGGGAGAAACGTTTGTTACCCCAGCTCTTTTCCATTGCTGGTGCAGTTGGTTCCGTCTTTAACTTGGGCTTCTCATCTGTCAATTCCATCCAAATTGAAGCGGTAAAACATCATGTCATCAAGCTTGAGATAGAAATCCCTTCACTGCGTGAATTGGTCCTTCGCCAGTGGAGTGCTTAGAAGCTACTCGGTATGTCTGACCGCCAGCCTATGGTTGTCTTGAACACGCAAAACAGGATGCTGCGTAATACTTCTGCCATGGTCAATGAACTCCGTTCTTTTGTCTCGTTTGGCTATGCTCATAGTCAGCTGCTGACCTTTTGTTTGTCTGACTATAGTCGAGATGTTAGTACTTCTATTGACACCCTCCTCGTGGGGAGGATTCCTCCATATCTTGTCCCTCTGGCTATGATGCGTTATGCACTTAGCAGACAACCAAGAAATATGTGACAGCCCTTCAAACTCACTCAGCTTTCACCTACTGATGTGCAGTGAAACTTGTAAACCGTTCCACTGCCGTTCCGTCATGCTGATGCTTCCAGTGTGAATAGGGGTTACTTAGCACTAAGCTAGCGGTCATGTCTGTCGGCTTGAGTTTAACTATTCCGACACTTTGGAAACATTTTGTAATGTTTTCCTGGGTGTTGTCATCCTTTTTTCCCCACCCTCTGTTGCTCGTGCTGACTATGATCTGTTTGAGCGTCAGAACGAGAGGGCTTCTCATCCACTTCACAGAAGTCACACCAGAAGTGATACGTCAAACATAAGTAGATTTAAGAAACATTTAATTTAAAGGTGGAATATCTAGCGACATCCAGTGTGTGAAGGTTGTAGGGGCAACAGTAGAATGAAGTTTCCGGCACCAGGATACCAGGTTTGCTGCTGATACACAACATTTTTTATTTGGGTCCATCTATTGTAGGCTTCACCTAAACTCACTCTGGTTTTAAATATTTTATGGTCGCTCCAATACTTTGTGAATGATATGTTAATAACTTACTTACCACTGTATTTGTAAATGTGATTACAAGCCTTTTTAGAGGGTTTGTACATCATTATCTAAAACCTTGTAAATGATATGTGAATGACATACTAATGATATACTTGTTATACTGAATGTCCACAGGTGACACCAATTATGTTAATGAAGCTGTAAGGCATTAAAGGGACAACCCACTCTCTCTCTGTCGCTTTTGCTCAGTGATGTTCAGCATCAGAGGATGAAGACGTCAGAAACCAAACCATTGTGTCTGTGTCTGTGTTCCATCTTTCAGTTCTTTTTAAAACACAGAAAAGGTTTATTTACCTTCCTTTGAAGGAAGGGACACCACCATCAGCGTCAGCCTGATGATGTTTGCAGCTGCAAACAAAATGTTGCAGGTAAATAATCCTTTTCTGTGTTTTAAAAAGAACTGAAAGATGGAATTTGAAACTCAACACAGCAAGAACACACCAAAGACATTGTGTCTGTGGCCTTATTATCTCACTCATACTCTGAGTTTAGACTACTGCTGTAAAGCAGCCCTGCTAACATTATTAAACACTCATAAATGTTTAATAACAAAACATTATTATAAAGTGATACCACCATGTTTTTAAATAGTGAGTCTGAAATAGTCTGGAAATTTAACAGCTTGGAGCTGACCAAATTCGACAAGGCATCACCTACAGTAGGAAAATTTGTTCACCAGTCCTGAGGGGCAGGCTGCAAATCCTGGTCCCTAAGGGCAGTTAGATGCTACTCTCTTCTAGGACATCTCATTTCAACATGTGAACAATTGCAAGGCCCTTGCAAAACTTGTAAAAATAGTAATGAGATCATTGATTCACATGTATGTAGACTACTAAACTGAAGGATATTGGCCCTCACCACCAGGATTGAATACCACTGTTAAAATATTACTCAGAATTTAGCCCATTCAGGAATTATTTAGAACTTTTATGCAAAACCACATTTCACAATAATTCAAATCTAACTTTATAGCTTTATTTGAAGTTCCTTTTGGCTAAAGTAAAGCCATTTATATCCAGACAGGAACTTGAGACTGTTGTTCATGCTTTTATTACCTCACGCCTCGACTACTGCAACTCTCTCATTTGGTGTAAGTAGGGTTGTCACGGTGAGAAAATTTAACCTCACAGTTATTGTGACCAAAATTATCATGGTTTTTGGTATTATCGCGGTATTTTTTAAAACTTATTACATTTTCAGACAACTAAATAATTCCTGTATATCAGGAAAATATTGTCCTCAGCTTGTGTCTAAATTTAGCCTAAAATGTGTTATTTTGTAATTATGTTGTTTATTTGTTTACATTTTCTCCTTTAGTCTTTAAAATACCAACATTTGCCCATAACTTCTTATTTTATGTCTGTTTGGTGTCATCATTTTAACAATATTAGATCAGATGATACTCAGTACTCAAGTAGCCTTCTAATCAGATACTTTTTTACCCTTCCTTGAGTAATAAACCCTATATCAGGAAAATATTGTCCTCGGTTTGTGTCCTTCCAGTGAGCTTTGCAGATGTGGGAAAATGTCATCAGGCAGTAATCATTGTTAAATTCATAATTATTCTCGGAGAGAGACCAACTCTTATCGGCCCCTGGGAGCCCCGTAATGCATAGCGTCATTTCAACATGGCGGTGTCCGCGACACGGTTTATATGCAGGTAGCGGCGCTGCGGCTGCTTTATATAGCGACTCGTTGCATTCTCCCTCAACCCAAATCCTCGGATCACGCATTCTAGCTAAAACGCTAACGTTAGCTTGCCTTGCGTTGACTGTAGCATTGTGGGTGATGGTCACGCAGATGTGTCTTGAGATTTGAAGCATTGCTGCCTTTCACAGACACTTTTTCTGCACGTGCTGCAAACAGGATAGCCCTATCAACTGTCCCTCGGCATTCTTCAAATATCCAAAAAATGCCCATACTTCCCACTTTGTCTTCTTTGAGGGGTAATAAAAAGTCCTCAGCGCTGCCGTCTCATTCTGTAGCCATTATTTCAGCTTTAGCTTCAAGAAAGTTTTTGTTGTAAACAACAAAGTGCACATGTGCCACCGGCAACTTCAGCAGATGATACGGTGGCTGGAAAGGGTCACCGCACCTACACCACAGCCACGGTAATCCACTGAGATAATATATTTTTTTAAAACAAGATGGTTATTATTATTGTCAACTTTTTTACCGGGGTTTACCACTACACCGGTTACTGTGACAACCCTAGGTGTAAATAAGAGTACGGTAGCTCGACTGCAGCTTGTCCAGAACGCTGCAGCAAGATTCTTGGACGGCAAAAGAAAGTATGAACACATGACACCAATTCTGACTGCTCTCCATTGGTTCCTTGTCAATTTTAGAATTTGTTTTAAACTTCTTTTAATGGTCTTTATGGTGCTGAATGGACTGGCTTTAGCCTATTTGACATAGTTGTTGCAGCCATACGCTCCGGCTCGAACACTCCGTTCTAACAACTCGTTGCTGATTGTGGCTCCCACGGCTCGGCTGAAGTCAAGAGGATAGAGCATTCTCTGGTGCTGGACTGAAACTGTGGAATGCATTGCCCCTAACTATTAGGCTCTCTTCATCAGTAGTGGTTTATAAAATGAGGCTGAAGACCTACTTTACCATCTGGTTTTGAATTCTGTGGAGTAGCTATTGCTGACATTTTACATGCTCTTGTCTTATCATTTTAACTTGTTGGTTTAAATTGTGTCTGTTGGTTTTATTCTTTTGATGGACAGCACCTTGTTGTCTGGAATGTGCTTTATAAATGAAGGCTGAGTTGAGAGTCATTTTTGGAGCTGGGACATAATTTTTCTGTTACTGACATTCTTTGATTTGTGTTCAACTTTTAGAGGTGGAGATTCAAGACAACCTGCTGCAGATACAGATGATCAGCGATCCCCATGTGAATCACATTATGCTGGATAGTCTGGACCCCAGGTGCTACTATACCTTTAAGGTTATTGCACGCACTTCTGCTGGGGAGGGACCGCCTATTACAAAGAGAGGTGCCACCCTGCTGGAGGGAGGTGAGAGCAGCCATTTTCTATCTTCTAATGCACAAGATCATTTGCTCACAATTAAGATACCATCTGATCCACCTTCCTCTAAAGTTAATAGCTTCACAGCTAGAGTAAGTATCCAATAATCAAAGCCTTGCCCATGAAAGTCACAGTTCCACAAAAACTTAATGACCAGGGCTCTCGTTTATCAGACATTGCGTAGAATCCTTACTAAAACTGTCCTTAAGCTCAGCAAAAAAAATGTACTCACGCTAAGTAGGTTTGTGATCTACCAAACATGGAGAATGCACAGCTGCACGCAATCTCCACTTCATAAATCAGAGACTAACGAGAATGGTTCTCAGCTGCCTTTTAGTCACATCCCGCCCTCAACACATCCACTTATTGCCATAAATGGTCAATGCAAAGTGCCTTGTGGATCTCATGCATATACATAAGCCGGCTGTTGCAGCGCTCCGCCAATGACATGGCGACCGTAGATCAAGGCAGATCAAGGAAGCGCCATTTCACAGAAGCAGAAATTGAGGTACTTGTGGGTGAAGTGGAAAACCGAAAGATAGTGCTTTTTGGAGGTCACAGCAGTGGCATAACAAATAAGAGAAAATCATCAGAGTGGCACAGCGCTGCTGAAGCCGTCAATGCTGTGAGTTTGTCAGAGAGATCTGTGGCGGATATTAAAAAGAAATGGTCCGATCTGAAGGTGGAGGCATAAAAAAAGGTCTTTTGCCACCGCCAGAGTGTGTCTGCCACTGGCGGAGGCCCTGGCACCTCTGATCTCCCACCGCTCGCCGTTAGGATCTCAGCAGTACTCGGACTGGCAAGCGTGCGTGGCATCATGCCGGAGGAGGAGAGATATACTGACCATGCAGAGGAGACTGATAACGTTTAAAATGATTAAATGAAAATCATGCCTTCTGTGTTGATTCTATAAATGACGCATGGCATTTTGTCTCAAACTGGCCCCCTGCTGATATTCCACATGTCGGGGCGGGGGCTGCACTTCAGGCTGGCCAAGGTGAGGAGGGGGCGGTAGCCCCGGTGGGAGAGGAAGGTTTTTCCTCAATGCGATGTTGTGCAGGACACCGCAGACCAGAATTATTCTACATTTGTTTTTGGGTTTGTATAGCAGTCTGCCTCCTGACACATCAAAACATCTCCACCTGCATTTAATATAGACAATGGCGCGCTCAACAAGAGAGCGTGCACGCCCATTGACCTCATTGAATCACAGCTCCTCTGCGTTCTGCGGGTTGTTGAAGGGAGTGAGGAGCCAGGATCTCAGGGGGTAGCCACTGTCACCTGTGTCTTATACCACAGTGATTATAATATACAGTGGTTTAAGTAATATAAGTGTGGATCTACTTACCGAGGAGCCAGTCATCACGCGCAGCGCCTGCCTGCAGTCTGTTGCCCACACTGCTGTGCGTCAGGATAAATCATGTCTGGCCCACAGATAATTTGGACGTTGATGGAATGTATGTTTTTTTCTATTTACATAAACATATTCATTCTCACTCGGAGCCCTTATAGCTACATGAGTGCAGTTAATAGCGCCGATTACATTTGGAAAACCGGACATTGCTGCAAATTGCACTTTAATGTTGGCCTGTTCTCCGACAGTGTAGGGAAACTTCATGTATCGGACTGTCATTTTAATTATGCCATTCAAAACTGCAGGCATTATGATGCTCAGGGCTGACTGAGATATTCCAGATCTAAGGGTTACATGTATTTGTTATCCAAAGAAACTTTGGGCAGTAATTAAAATAATAACAATTCAATCAAGCCAAGATGACCCTACCTGTCTGCTAATTCCCTTTGGAATGAACCAGTTGCCAGGAACCCAAGAGAAGTCAACAGCTGGAGGTGAACTTGAATTGAATGAGTCCTGCGGGTTGGTTGCTCTAGCACCGGGCTCCGCTCAGCACCGAGGTTAAGGAGGGGGGCTCTGGGGAATCTAAATCTGCTGATCAGCTAGTTGTAGCTATAGAATGTCTTTGAAATGGCATTTAATACAAAACCTTTCAGGTAAGTATGTTGTGTTATGATTATTTTTCCAAATGCAACTTAGCATTTCTCATAAAATGAATAAAATACAAGCTAAAGGTGATGAAAACACAGAAATCTAAATAGTCTGAACTGAAGTAAAAATGTTAAAATACAATTAAAATTTCTGGCTTCCTGATAGATTGAAATTTTTTTATGGTATTTTAGTTTTTGCTCATCTAGCTTGAGTAACTGCTGGTAAAATGATGCTTTGCTGTGTTTTATGTTGACAGTCAACAAGGTTGGAGGTTATACTTGTTACCTGCCTCTGGATCAGCTGATCCGTACGTCTGACGATTGCACAACACGGAAGGGGAGAGAGAGAAAGCGTTAAAAATCGTGTTTTATTAGTAAACGGGACAACCAGCTGTAATGTGTTGAAACTAAATCACAGGAGATGTTTTTGGAAGCCTGTGTTCATCATGTGTTCACAAACAAATTGTATTTATTTTGGGTTAACAAGCTTTTAGACAGAAATTTACTGTCGCTCATATTATTTTACTGAGGATGTTTTTTTGAAACCAGGTCTGCATCACTGATGTCACCTCGTCTTCTTTAGAAGTGCATCTTCATCTACCTGCAGCAGCAGCCGCTGAGATCAGAAACTGGGATCCGTGCAGCAACCTGAGCTACTAATCTGTGTATTTCCAGTAGAACGTGTTTGCTGAAATCAGATTTTTATTTTTCTTCCACAAAATGCTCATTTTAGATTTGATATTACTGAAAATGGGAAGGGTTGCCTTCAAATTTACGGCTGTGTAATTCCTTTTTCAAACTTTTATAAAGAAGCAACTCAGCGCATGAGTCTATGGACATTTCCTTCACAGTATTGATGTTGAACCATCTAGTCAGTCACTGGCATTTTTAGTCAGACTCTAAAAAGAAGAGACCTGATGAAGGCTGCATGCAGTAAGGCAGAAAACCTTGGAGCAACCAGTGACTCACTGCGCCCTCTAGGCTTCTGATTTGACCTGGCTCAATACACTTGAAGTTGTTACCGTTGACGACTTATGCCAGTAAAAACCTGCTGTTGTCTTCTAAGTTTCCAACCAAGTTCATGTCCATAGAGAATACTGCCTTTCAGTTATGTTTTGTTTAAACTCCAGCTCTAATTACTGACCAGTGATTCTCACTGCAACCTCGCGCGAGCGCGCGCGCGCGCGCGTGTGTGTGTGTGTGTGTGTGTGTGTGTGTGAGAGAGTGTGTGTGTGAGTGTGTGAGAGAGTGTGTGTGTGTGTGTGAGAGAGAGAGAGAGAGAGTGTGTGTGCATGTGTGACATACATTTTAGCCTTGTTGTTTTATTTTACTACCTTCAAACCTATTTAAAAGGGGGACCGCAGGATGAGTTCCAACTACAGGGGATCACACTCCTGAATCTCCCTGGAAAAGTCTATTCAGGGGTTCTGGGGGTCAAACGGATTGTCAAACCTCGAATTCAGGAGGAGCAATGTGGTTTCATCCTGGCCGTGGAACACTGGGCCAGCTCTATACCCATAGGAGGGTCCTGGAGGATGCGTGGGAATTTGCCCAACAAATCTACATGTGTTTTGTGGATTTGGAGAAGGCGTTCAACTGGGTACCAGGCGGTCTGATACAGACTGTTAGGTCCCAATATGACCGGTGTCAGAACTTGGCCCAGTGCCTCCTGGTGTTTTCAGGGCACGTCAAACCGGGAGAAGACCTAGAGGAAGCGCATGCTGGAGGGCTTATTTCTCTCAGCTGACAGGATTCCTCCCAGAATAGCTGGCCCAAGTGACTGGGGAGAGGGAAGTCTGGGCCCCCATGCTAAGGCTACTTCCCCCTCGATCCCCGCAACCCGACCCTAGGTAAGCGTCTGAAAATGGATGGATGGACTTGTGCAATGACAATAAAACAATCTTGAATCTTATTTTGGAATCTGATGCCCATAAAGAGATCACGGGCAGACTGAAGTGGAACAGTGATAAAGAGAATTTCCATGAGCTCAGTGTTTATCTTTTAAGGTATGTGAAATATAGCAGAATCATGTAGAATTAATAATAATAGTAATAATTTAAAAGTATATTAAATGTATAATAAATCCACAAAGATCACAAAGAATCACAGGGGGAAGAAATTCAGCAAGCAAAGGGACACGTTACATCTAACCAATCAAGCACTTTTTCATCTTCATCTTATCAGTGGGCCAATGTGAATCACTTTGAGTGGTTAAAATCCATAAAAATGTGGACTGAGTACAAATCCATTCATTCAAAACCTTTGTCTTTTTTCTCTCTAGCGCCTCCATCAAACATCACCGTAGTGTCCGGTAACACATCCTTCAACTTGAGCTGGGTTCCTGGAGAGCGAGACAGGAATCATATCTTCAACATACGTTACTACAGGAAGAGTGGTAAGAAGAGAAGGAAGCAGAACTTTTCACTTTTTAGCTCTAAAGAAGGGTGAGACAGGTGAGAAACCAAAAAGAAACAAACACTTTTTTCATCATTCTTCATAAACAAACAATAAAAAGCAGCAAATGGCCTGTATTTATATAGCAGCTTATATCAGTCCCCTGTCCATTCACACAATGGTGGTATTGAGCCACACTGCAGCCACAGCTACCCTGGGGAAACTAACGGAGACTAATTATCAACTGCATATATTTGTGATCAGAGAGATTATAGTTTGGTTTAGACTGTGCTGACACACATGAAACATTTAAATGTTAAGCTAAGTTCATGTTAAATTAGTTCAATTCCAACTTGAACATTTCTGCTTTGGGAGCACTGGAGATGTTTATATTCTCAACCGAGGAGCTTTGTCAATCCTGACTGGAGTATGGGAGACTGAAGCATATAAACTGTAGCTGTCTATTGTTGCTTAATGAGCAGAAACTACCTATGAATACCACTTCTCCCTACCTCCTGAGGAGTCGTTAGCCTCCATTGTGTGGGAATCGTATTGATTAGAAGCAGGAAGGTGTGACCTAGACTCTTAAGTGCTTAGGAGCTAGGTTCACATCTGCATTATAAGTCCTGAAAGGTGAAATTTAAGTCCTCCTCCTCTATTTATTGTTGTGTTTTTCCATCACCTATCTTCTCTGTCCAGAATGTGTACTTTGCAGTCCACTTACAAAAGGACAAGGGACACACTTTTGAAGACCTGGACAGTCCTCACTACACTGGGCTGCATAAACCACGCCAATGAGCTTCTGTTTGGGTGTTTTGTCTTTAGGATGGACCAGTTTCTGTCTGAGGGTGTTGTTGGGTTAAAGTTTACTGGGATGTTGTGTTTGGAGAAGATTCGTCTCAGTTTCTCTGAGACTCCTGCCTCGTGAGGGCCATAATGGGGCTTTTTGCGCCTGTTGTTTTTTTCTCTGTGAAGTCAACAAAGAAGTCTGGAAAATAATCCACAGTAGTGAATCACAAAGGACCAGTTGGGGTTGTTTTCCTTCAGACTTTGTGGGAATTTTCTCAGTCCGACGGTGTAAAGTCCTGATGACTGACATGTTGTGCTCCAGTGGGTGATGTGAGTCCAAATGCAGATACTGGTCTGTGTAAGTTGGTTTCCTGTAGACTTCAGCGCTGAGACTTCAGTCTTGTTCAATTTGCACAGCACAGTCCAAGAAGGGCAGTTGTTTGTTGTGGACATCCTCCCTGGTGAACTTGATGTTCTTATCCACTGTGTTAATGTGTCTGGTGAAACCTTGGACGTCCTGCGTGAGAACTTTGACCCATGTGTCGTCCACATGTCTATACCAGTGGCTTGGATGTTTTGCAATGTTGTAATTGACTGAGCTGATGATGGATCTGTGTGGGGTTCCTTCATTGTGACTCTTCAGAAGACCATATATGCAATATTCATTATGTGTTCAATACCGGATTTACACTGCATGTCCGTATGCTGCATAGTGTTGGAACCCAAGTTTTTTCTTTTTTATTTGTGGTTTTTAGCGGTTGAAGGTTACAATACTACACTACTGCCTATGTGTATATATGTCGGGCCGTAAATCTGACACAGCCGACTCAAGGTCACCTTTAACCAAGGGAGAGCAGCAGAATCAGAACCCAGGGACCAGAATATAAACCAGAGGATTTTCGCTTTTATTCCCTATGATGGGAACAATATAAAATGGCATAGACAACACTCTCTTTTCTATAAAAGATTAAAAAGTCCCAAAAAACCTTTCTACAAGCACTAGAAGTCCCCTAAAATCAGGAAAATAATGTTCCACAGCACCAGGAGTAGGTCCAGTCCCATCAGCGCTGTTCCCCTGCAGAGTTCCAACCACCCTTAGTCGGTACTGGTAGATTCCTGCGGCATCAGGTACAAGGCTGACATCACTGTGATCCTTGTCACCGCTGCTGTCACGCTGCCCCTCCACAATCCTCCAGCTCCGCCTGGCATCACTCTGTAAAAATAACACATTTGCCAGACCCGCTGCCTGCAGGCCCACCCGCGATCCTCCTTCAATCCCCGGCACAATGTGTAGGGAGAAGACAACAGTACTCTTAGGTGAGGGCAGAGTTCCACATCTGCCCAGTTTCCATCCACACACGCTGTTGTCCCTCGCTCACGGCTCTCTTGCCGTCCTGGAGTCGCCGATCAGCCGCTCCTCGATCTGTGCTGCCGGACCGCTCCTCAGTGTGGTAGTGGGTTCCCCTTTTTATGCACTCCTTATGTTATCAAATCTGTTGCCGGGTTCTTTGCCTCCAGCTCTGCAGTCTGTGCCTTTTTATGCCACCTGCTCCTGCCACAGCTCTATCCTCAATTGCGAATTTTGTTTCCAGCCACGCCCACAAAATTGTTCCTGAGCGCAGCTGTGTTTGCAGCTAACCGCTCCCCCAGGCGATTGATCAGATGCAGAGAACAACTGTTGCACATCATTGTGTGTGACAGCTGATGGGACTTTAACTTTACCTTTTTAACATTAAATCAATGAAATTATTTTTCCCTTAACTCACTCTCTGCCAGCCATTTCCTAATCAGAAAAGCCCCTTGCCGCGAGCGTTTCTCACCATTTTCACTGTTTTTTTAAGAGTCACAGAACGTTGCACACTAGGATGATGTTGACACCAACACTAACAAAATAAAGTGGAGAATTCAATTCAATTCAATTCAATTCAAGTTTATTTATAAAGCGCCAAATCACGACAAGAGTCGTCTCAAGGCACTTCACATAATAAACATTCCAATTCAGGTCAGTTCATTAAGCCAATCAGAAATAATGTTTCCTGTATAAGGAACCCAGCAAATTGCATCAAGTCACTGACTAGTGTCAGTGACTATACAGCAATCCTCATACTAAGCAAGCATGCAGCGACAGTGGAGAGGAAAACTCCCTATTAACAGGAAGAAACCTCCAGAGAATCCTGGCTCAGTATAAGCAGCCATCCTCCACGACTCACTGGGGATGGAGAAGACAGAGCAGGCAGATAACCTGAAGACTCACCTCTTACATCAGGAAGAATCTGTGCGTTTCAAGCTTTATCCGTTTTTTCATAATCCGTTGTTGAATTGTGATCGGCAGAAGCTTTTCCGGTTCGTGCCTCACTTTTTTACAGCAGCGACCCAAAACGATCTCCTAATACATGGATTTTCTGCTTCCTGATCACGTGACGTGTGACGTACGCAGATGAAGATCGACTTTAGAGCTGAGATGTTTGTTCTCACAGTGCGGGGGCTCGTTCCGACGCCCACACAGTAAAAAATGCAAATGACGACTTTAGTCATCATTGGCAGTGAATGAGTTGTTAACGTACACACACCACCCCATACTGGCAGAAAAACACACCATTTAGACATTTCTGCAGATGTATTAACAAAGAAAACAGAAGTATCACTTGGTCCTGAGTATTCAGACCCTTTGCTCAGTATTCAGTGGAAGCACCTTTTGAGCTAATACAGCTTAAGATGCAACACGTGTCTAACACCTGGATTTGGGGATTTGCCATTCCTCCTTGAAGATCCTCTCCAGTTCTGTCAGGTTGGATGGTGAACGTTGGTGGAGCCATCTTTAGGTCACCAATCGCACGCACATGCACTGCCATTAAACAAGATTTTCCCTCCGTGGCCAGTGTTGCAAGTCTGCACAAAGAGGCAGCCTCACAAAGCTAGCGGACACACATCCTTCATTCCCAGTGTTGACAGCTCTTGCTCATGCACACCAGTGGGCTCATGCTCTCCCACTCAGGAGCCCATGCTGGTGATGTCAACTTCTTCTGCATTTGTGACCTTTCGAGGACAGCCCTCCATGGATTGCAACTGGTGTCCAGGCGAGAAAAGGCTTGAGCATGGCTCATGAGTGTGCAGCAAACTATATTTCTTTACACATGCCTTTTTTCTCAGTGCGTGCTGGAATGGTCATGCATTTGCCACATGAACAAATGAATACACGTCATCGTGCATCATGGCCACAAATCTAGTTTCAATCCCACCCAATCCCGTTCTCAGGGATTGTGAAAACGAGACTGACGTCAGCGGACCAATCACATGCTCTCCACACAGAACTAAGGGAACTTCTGTTAAAGGAGGCTATCTCCAGGGTTCCACCAGGCAAGGAAAACACAAGGTTCTACTTCCTGTGTTTCTCCTTTGATGGAGTCCAGCACCAATACAACAGACTCCCATTTGAGTTTTCTCTTGCTCCCTAAACCTTCTCCAAATGCATGGAGATGGCCCTGCAGCTGTTACGCACAGCAGGCCTGGGGATTCTCTTCTATTTAGATGATCTGTTTACAACACATTCTCACACCCTATGCATCGAAAAATGACGTGTGACCGATCGTCATATTTTGACGCTTGGTCACACGCATCATTTTTCAACGGTTAGGGTGTGAGAATGTGTTGGTTTCTCCTATCTTGGGATCGGCTTGGCTGGGGTTCTCAGTAAACTGGGAGAAAAGCTCTATGATCCCCTTACAGCTGATGACCTTTTGGGGCGTGGAGCTGAACTCCAACACCATGAGAACCTGTCTGTCTCAACCCAGAGCAGAGGAGCTGTTCACACTGCTCAGATGCATTCACCACAGTGTGACAGCCCTAACAGTTATGAAACTGTTAGGCATAATGGCTGTAGGCCACGTAGCAGTCACTCTGAGGACTCAGGACCCTGATGTGCATTGTACCGCTCGGTTGTGTGTCTTCCCATGTCTCAGTATTTACAGACTTGTCTCTATCAGGATGGGGAGGTCCAATCTGGTGGGCGGCCGCTGGCACCCCCTCAGTCAGGCACACATACATGTGCTGGAACCTATGACAGTGCAGAAGGTGATTCTGCACTTTGCACCCCTGCACGAAGGTCATCATGTGATAGTTCACACAGATTATCAGGTTGCAGTTGCATATTGAAACCACCAGGGTGAGGTTTGTTCAGCTGCACTGCTGTGCTGAGCCCACACAAGACGTCTG